TACTCAAAACACAAAACTCAACTATACACTTAAATCGTAAAAGAAATACGAAGGAAAAACTTTTGACGTTTTGTCACGGCGAAAGTACTCAACGCTATGACGAGAGACGCGAACGTTGCCGCGCAAGCAGGTGACCACGTGACCCTCCTCACTAGGGAGATGGTAGAAAGTGTTGTGTAGAGACCTAGTTACAATTAGGGTCCCTAGACAGGCTGCCAAGTTCCCTAGATTTTAATGGCAATTTGAATATAGAATAATTATTTGGGGAGATTTATCGATATTTTGAGACATTGAATTAAGAGATAACCATGTATTTGTACGTCGTTTAAATTGTCGAGATGTTTAAAGTATTCTTGAGGTGTTCCACGGGGGAAATTCCCCGCAGCTGCATTTTTCTAGCTACGTGTTCCTTTCCCGAGTAAATTGTCGCCTCTCCGAGATTTTCGAGTATTATAAATCAGTTGAGACCTTTAGAAATATTCTCTCGCTCTCTTTTACAGTTTAATATGGTTTTGGGCCAGTCCCCGCTTGATTCATTTCTGTCGAAATACTTTCGGAAATTTTTTGCTTTCCTTTTGGTTTACGACTTAATCCCTTCCGTTCACTGAAGGTTGAAGCGAGGCGCGGGATCTCTTTACCAGGACTTGAAAATTCTCTCTCGGTATCCTCATTACCTCCACCCTCAGAATGAATTTTCGGGTTTCTTGCAAAATGATTCGTTGAATCCCTTCTACCCCTAAAATTGGTGACACCTCAGGGATACTTGAACGAGTAGAGTGTGGGAGAAGAAACTGAAATTGTAATCACTCCTATCCCAGGTGTTGAGAAGTAAAGATCTAAATAATTGTGATATTGAAAGTTGAGAAGAGACAATATTGTGAAGACTTTTTGAGGAATAATTTGACCGTGAAAATAATGTGAACTCGAGTTTTGGACTACTGAAGAATTAATTAAATACAAAGAATTATTTGTGTTACTTAAATCTATGTTTAAACTTTATTTCAAATATCCCGCACTTACAGAGCAGAGTGGTTTAGCACTACACGGTCAACTTACCCACGAGCCCTCTGGAATTTACTTGATTTGAAAATCCACACACAACAAAAGCAAGGGGAAAAGAGAAGGAAAGCAAAGGCGAATACACAACAGCATCTCATCTATAGGGATGCCGTGTATCGGCCAATAACATATAATGCCCACAATTGAAGATTGATTATACTAGATCGGTGCGCGCGCTTTCGCGCGCCCTTATCTTTTTGTTGTGAAAATGAAGAAATCGAATTTATTAAACTTCATATACTTATAGATGTTTTATAAATATTGATAATGACAAAGAGAATTAAGAGAATGAAGAGAATGAAGAGTGAAGCATCAATGAATAATTTTTAATCTGCGATTAATTCTTTTTTTTTTACTTTTAAAAATAATCTGATTGAAATCTGTAATTGTTGAAAAATGAGGGAAGGGTTATGAATTGATTTTCTAGAGAACTGAAAAAATTTCTTGAATTCTTCGGAAAATTTCACAGTTTTTCAGATAACCGTAGATGACAGATTTTTCTCGAATTATTTGGGAAACCGAAGAATTTTCGTGAATTTTGTAGAGTTTAGAATTTATGTATGAAAATCTGAAAAGCAAGAATTGATCATTTTGGCGTGTGATAAATATGAAAAAATTAAAATTTGGAAAGTGAAGAATAATTTGTGAGTTGAAAAAATTTAGAAATACTATTTTTTTTTCTCATGATCAACAATTAGGCAATTTTGACATGTTTTGATATAAAGATCAATTTTACACATGAAAAAATGAAAAATATGATGCAAAAAAAATTTTTGGCATTTGAAGAATTTGAAAATACCGGGTTTTTTTTTCAGCGACTACTCACGTGACTCATTGATCAATCAAAATTGAGGATTATCGGTCAGGCAGTTTCGAGATATTTCGATATAAAACAACTTCACGTTTCTTTCATCTTTAGTAAAATAGGATAGGATACATTCGGCCAAATAAGTTCCCGTGTTAGCTTTATGGGAGAACCAACTTCATGTCGGAAGGAACTTATTTGGTGTCGAGTGTATGTATAACAAGCAGGGGGCCGAGCCTATTCGACTGAAGAGATATGATTATTTCTTTATGCGTTGTTAGTCTTTTCATCTTTCATCTCTACCAATTTCATTTCAATTCTATTTCAATTCTATTTAAAAAAAAAAATTAGAAGATAAAAATTTTGTTTTGTGGTGAATATAAAATTTCAGTTTCTGTAAGACGCAAATTCTCCGATTTTATCAATTTTCAAGTAAAACAAGAGGAAACTTCGCGCCGTACTCCAGATTAATATGTCAATTTTTTCGAAAGTTGAAGTGCTAAGACGGATTTTTAGCGAAAAATCGAAAAATTGGAATTTCTCGGGCACTTTGCATAAATCACTTGCATGAATTGTGTATATTCCAATTGGTTGGAATCGGAGAAATTGAGATGAATATTTTGAAAAAAAAAATTGAAATCGGTTGAGTAGTTTTTGAGATATTCAAGAAAATAGATTTGGATACAAAGTCGAATATCTCCTAAACTATCCATCCGATTGAGCCCATCTTCAATACCAAACATTTTAGTGTCAAGAGGAAATTTTGTACCAACTTTCAAGTTAATATGTAAATTTTTAGGAAAACTAGAGTACTAACAAAAATTTTCAGCGAAAAACCGAAAAATAAAAATATCTCGAAAAGTTTGTATGAACGGGTATAGATATTTTGATAGATTGCGATAGAAGACATCAAACCGAGTATTTTGAAAAGAAATTGAAATCGGTTGGATAGTTTTCGGGATATTTGCAAAAAACGATCTAAAAACAAATGATGATTTCTCAAAACTGAACCTATTCAGCTGAACATTAGCACAGACTTAGTCCTCATTAATACCTATAATCTCACAAAATTTTAAATGTTTTGGAATTATTTTAGCCTTTTATTCGTTTAATTTGCTAAAAGTTGACCATCAAGTGGACCAAGTTGACACGCGCACATACATACATGGTCCTCAAACTTCGTATTTTTACGTGTCAGACCATTCTACATAATTTCCAGGCAAAATTAGAGAATCGATTTCAATGCTTCCGTTCGGAAGCAAAAACAAATAATTAGTGTAAAATAATTAATTGTTCATTGTTTGTTTGCCCCGCACACACTTACAATGTTAAAAATAGTTCGGGGCCTCCAATTTTTCAGCTACAGAGGCTTTTTTCCAAAATTTTTGAAAAAATGTTTACAATAATAATTACGATTCATTTTTTTGAAAATCGACTCCTACACCGCTAATTTTGTTTTGTTTAATATTAAAAAAATATTGTCAATTCTTTCCGAAACATTTTTTGGGCTATTTTACATGAATGGTACATTTTTTCATTTAAAAAAAAGGAAATTAGCTGTGTAGGAGTCGAATTTCAAAAAACCAACTCGTAATTGTTATTGTACACATTTTTCCAAAACTTTTGAAAGAAAACCTCTGTAGCTCAAAAATTGAACAACGAACAACAAATAATTTTTTTTTTTGCACTAATTATTCATTTTTAGACATATATATGGGGTATTCCATGTGAACTCACCCAGATCAAAACCCTCACCATCGCCAATCATATTGCCGATTTTTCCTGTGGTTGTATATGGAAAAATATGACTTCTCAAATTTTTTCACATTTTTTGAGGCATCCTGTGGACAGCCATGTTTTTTTGCAAGTTTTATCTTCAAATGCCTGTAACTTCTGTAAAAATCAACCGATTTGAGTTTTTGTTTTACAAAATGTGCGTCTTTGAACACACTTTCCATATAAAAATATGCCAATTTTTTTCGTTTTTCCATCGATTTCCTTAGAAATAACTCAAAAAACTTCAAAAAACGAGTCGTTTCCAAAGTTGGACCGTTTTTAGATTTTTCAAAAAATTTCAGTGAATATATTGCACCAAAACAAAATTTTTCACCAAAGGCCAAAGTGGGCGTCCCATTTCGTGGCCATCACTTCCAATTTGAATAGATGAATCTGGAATCAAAAATTTCAAAAATTTCAACATTCTTTTCAAATTTGAAAGCAGAAGTATTATTTGAATTTACCGTCTGAAGAATCACCGCATTATATTCGAATCTGGAACAATTTGATTATTTTTTGAAAATTCGTTAACAATAAATCTTTCCGAGTGGTGTGTCCTAATAGAGATCCCACTTTGGCCTTTGGTGAAAAATTTTATTTTGGTCCAATATATTCACTGGAATTTTTTGAAAAATATAAAAAGGGTCCAACTTTGAAAACGACTCGTTTTTTGAAGTTTTTTGAGGTTTTTCTGAGGAAATCGATGGAAGAACGAATTGAAAAAAATTGGTATATTTTTATATGGAAAGTGTGTTCGAAGACGCACATTTTGTAAAAAAAAAACCCAAATCGGTTGATTTTTACGGAAGTTACAGGAATTTGAAGATAAAACTTGCAAAAAAACATAGCTGCCCACAGGATGCCTCAAAAAATCTGAAAAAATTTGAGAAGTCATATTTTTCCATATACAACCACAGGAAAAATCGGAAATATGATTGGCGATGGTGAGGGTTTTGACCTGGGTGAGTTCACATGGAATACCCCACATAATCTTCAATGTATGAGAAATCTCGTTCCAATAGCCGCGACTTTTAAAACTCGTAGTAGTCTCCCCAGGCCAGGGGTAGTCTCCACACCCCTGTTTGACGGTCGTTCGGTAATTCATGGATCTAATGCTGCCATCTGTCAAAGTTAAATGGAGATTATAATTGAGACCGATTGTAAATAAAAATTAATTGGAATCCTACTCTACTGACACTGTTTGATCGTCTGCCCGTCTCACGGGCAACTGTGGAAATGGGCAACTGTTTTTTTTGAGCAAACGGTTTTCTGGGAAAGTATTCCATCTCGTTTCTCACTCGACCATGGGCAACTGTGGAAATGGACGAACCCCCACCCCTCTGCACACAAACTGGAACGTCCGCCGTTAATTGTAAACGCCCGCATCCTCTCCTCGATCTTCCAACAGCGTGGCTAAAGGCTATGGCGTCGACCGAGTTCTGTGTCACCTTAAATTTATGAGCCAAAACTCCTGAAAACTCCAAAAATCTTACGAATTCCGATGAACTGGACCTATTCACGAATTTTCACGGAAATTGGCTGAACGAGGTAAGGCAAAAACTCAACAAAAATCACTGAGCTCTCATTTTTATTGCAAATTCTGTTCATTACTTGGGGCCTGGAGGGGGATTGGACATCGGCACGTTTCGCTAGTGCGTCATGGCGGCAAATTTTCGTTACGAATCGATTACATTGCACGTACCAGTCTTAATCGAGGTTATTGGTTAATTCACATTGCATTATTGGAACAGGAAGGAGGTTAGAGCTGTTTACAATGTTTTGAGAGTTCAGAATAGTGAAAATAATCAAATTGTCCGCGGGAGCTCACGTTTATTGTTCTCCCACGACGGTTGACTTCCCAGGACAGTGCCTGTATTCGAAGCAATTGTTCACCCAAAAGGAGAGCTATTTTCTAGTCAAAGCTTAATTCTTGACTTTTAATTTGGAATCAAGGTGTGAGAAGATGAATAAACGACGAAGGACGTCTTCGGTAGCTAGTCGAGGGACGGAGGACGATCCCGAGGAAATACAACCCGAACCGGCGAAGAGGAGAAAGAAATTAGACCCTGTAAGTATTTCCTTCATTTCTCTTTCTGCTGTTCTTGCTATTTTATGTCTTATAACCGAAATATGTAGGGTGGGGACCTCTGATTTTTTGTTAGCAGTAATTAAAGTCATTAGAAGAATTGCAATTATTTCTGTCCTCCAGTTGAGGATGTAATTATGTGGATGGCGTAGTGGGGGTTGTTATGAAATTTAATCGAGAATGAAATCAACTAATGTTCCCATCTGTGGTTTCAGCTGGTTAATTTTTTGTTGATTGGTGGAAGACATAGCCATCGTTTCACATTGTCAGGGTGTCCAGCCGGCAGGGAAATCTGGAAAACGGGAAATTGTCAGGGAATTTGATTGTTCTGGAAATGCCAGGGAATTACAACTTTCTGCAATTTTGAAATTTGAAAGTACTAGGAAATTTAGATACTTATTTTCTCCAAGTACCTAAATTTTTCGGAATTATTCTGTTTTCAAGAAACATTGTCCTGGAATTTGATCTCAAATTTACTTAGAAAAGTGGAATGTTAACATCTTCCCGTAGGATGGGACTGAGACCCCACTGTTTTTGCGGTTTTCCTATGGAAAATTCTAAATTCAACTTTCTACTTTTCAAAGGAATTCTTGTAGGGGAGGGTAGGGTAAAACGGCCCCCCTTCAATTGTCAATAACTTGTGAATGACATTGTGAAAATTCCCAGTTTCAACTTCATTTTGAAGATAATTTTTCATTCTTCAAAACGAGCTCTAACTCATCCCAATCGGATTATTGAATCGGAAAATATTGACGATTGAAGGGGCGCCGTTTTGCCCCATCCTCCCCTATATCAAGATGGTGGAATTTGCACGGTAGAATTTCAATTATTTTACAAACATAAAATTATCTCTGCGCACAAAAAACGATAAGAATAAATATATCCCTTTTTGACAATATTACATTATTCCTAGCGGGTAAAATGACCCGAATATAGATCATTTTATCAGTGATATTTTTTATCCCTACTTGGAGATGATTTTTTTGTGTGAATCAATCCTAAAACTGGGTTAATTTATTCCCTAGATGAAAACTATAGAATTCGCTAGAAAGGGTTGAAATATACCGAACAAGAGTTAATTCATACTTATCGTTTTTAGTATGCATGGAAATTCGTATTTATTTTTTACTGGTGTTCCTGGAATTTCTTACCGAAGAAGACACTATTGGAGTGTCCTCCCCAATCTTCAAAATAAATAACAATGAATTTTAGATGATGTGATTATATTCTCCTTTGTAGAATAGGTTGCGTCATCAAAAATTGCATAACATTTTTTATTTAAATCATAGCAGGGAACAGTGGGATAAAGTGGAATATTTGTATTAACTTCAATGTTTAATATCTTTGTTTATAAACGTTCCACTCCGCACCATCTCCCCCTAGGGAAGTCGTCAAATAATTCATGCCTGCCTAACTCATGTTAATAGTAAATTATCTTGGTGCTGATTGATGGTTAAAGAAATCTATTCAAGGAGTTTTTGTAGATAATTTCATCAACTACAAAGAAAATTTTATGAATTTTTTTGTCCAAAAACGGCTCATTTCTTGGGTAATTACTTAATTAATAGAGGTTCGATATCCGTTAAGGCATCATCGATTCTAGAACTATCTCATTAACAAATGCTGTTTCAACAAACTTATTGAGGGATGCTTCCTGTAGAAGAGGAAATTTTGTGAGAATCAGGTCTCTTGATATTCTTTCTGAAAACGCTCACTCCCTAGATAATCGACAAAGCTCTTACAATTCTACCTCAGGAATTGGGAATATCCCAATTCTTCAATTGATATACAGGAAATTGTTAGTTGTTTAAACAAAATACTTTTCGTAATAACTGCCTGAAAAGTTGACTTTTCGGGGTGGTTCAGGAAGCATAAAGTGTTTGTTTTCCAGAAGCGTAAACCTCTGTCAACTTCGGTAAGTTTCCCTTTTTGTAATCGCAATTTTATTTCCACACGACATTGAACGTTCCGCAATCCGTGCAAAAAGGCAAACAATTTACTCCTACTGCACCGCCGAGAAATGAACTCGGCAGGTATTACAAAAATAGGATGTGTTAAACATGCGTGCGAAAAAGTGAAATTTAACGTACTGGTAACACAATACACTATTTCTGATGATTACCAAGGTAGAAATTTTTCCATTATTTGAACATACCAAATTTCCAAATATGGATAATAGGAAAACCCAATGGATTATGGATTATATCACTTGGAGAATCATCTTTGTTCTGCGGATGATTTTCCATCCACCGACGACGATTGACTATCTCATCGGAAAATCAAATTTGATGGAGAAAATTTTGGTAATACTTTGTCAAATTTTCACAAAAAAATTGGGAAGACGCAGCGTGAACGTTTAGATGGACCATCCGGCCAATGGCGTACGCAAATTCGATCTTAACATTTTCGGTATTTTTTGTTAGTTTTTCTTTATCTGTGCACTATTTATGTATGAAAAATGATATTTCTCGAGTATGCGATGTTCCAGGCTTCAATAAATAGGGATTAGTACCTTTACTATTTCATCTAAGAAATTTTCAAATAAGTAGAACGCACGAAAAAATATCCAAAAAGAGGATTAAAAACATTTTTTATCGGAAATCGCACGAATTTTTCAAAAATGATGTGTGCCGCAAAAATAGCCATCATTTTTCAAAAGAGAATTAGAATTTAGAGAGAAAAAAATCACTCACCACCCAGCCGGGATACAAACCTGGGTTTCCCAGTTATGCGCCGGGCACTCTCCCAACTTTTTTTTACGATAAACTTTTGATAGAAAATTTTTTGAATTGAATAGAAAAATATCAAGTTACCGGAACAAGATGGTAAACACAGAGAAATTCATGTTTAAAATTTTATTTTCCGATTTTTGCTACAAAAATAACGTGTAACAAAAAAATTATCGTCATTTTCGGAAAATTCAGAAAAATTACGCTTAAAAATGATGCTTCCTTTTCTTAACGTCATTTACGCAATTCCGATTAATCATAGCGGCATATACCGTATAGTGAAGAAATCGCATTTACTATATACGAATAATACACAGAATAGAAAAAAAAAACTAGCGAAAATTTTGAGATCGGATAGCGTCCGATGTTTGGTGGACTGAGCCAGACATTTTGGACTTGCTTCTAACAACGCAATATTTGACTAAAGAGGCTAAATATTTGTGGCGATACCGTGCCACTTCAGGATAGTAATATCTCTCATAAGCGAAGTTTAATGAAAAATCATTTGTTCAAAATTAGAGGGTTCTGATAATATCGTCATTGTTATCCTATTCAAGGATGTTTATTCAAAACTGCAAAAACTTGAAAACATTTCGATTTTTTTCAACTATCGAACAGAGTTATTCCCTTCATGTCGATAGAAGTTTTAATCTGCCAACCAGGTTTTATTATTCAGAAATAAAATAGACAACATGCACCCCATGTAGGGGTTAGCATGAGGCTATATGGCGCTTAAAGTTTTATATATGTGCGTTATTTGTTTTTCCATTCCTTGGCGATCGGATTCAGTATACATATTCTTTCATATTACCCTCTATTTTTATGTTTACTATTTTTGGAGTCTCCCAGTACGTAAATTGTCAATGTGGAAGTGAATCCCATAAAAGCCCGTGTACAAGGAAATATTTGTCTGTTATTTTATAAAAGCTGTTGGAGCGAATTTTTCTCTTCAAAATTATTGCAGCCCTTTCAATATTTTCTTTCCTGTAACACCAATTAAGGGCTGACTACTATGAGTTTTAACCCTAGAGTGGTCACCATATGAGGGAAACCCCACCGCGCGTTTTTCTTTAATTACAATCGACTGGGTAACCGTAAAAATTAAAAAAAATTTGACTTTGTCAATTGAAGTGTCTAAAAAATTATAGTAGTTTTTAGAACAACATATTTCCCGAAATTCCTAAAGAAAACATTAATTCGAACAGATGAATTATTTTTTACCATGTTAAATGAAATTGCCCGTCATGCGACGTTGCCGGAAACTCGTTAAAGGCGCCCAGGCAGTGTGAAGTGAATTCGGCAACGCTAGAGCCCGAATAACACGGCGGGTAATCCCCGCGGAGGTGACGAGAGTCGCAGGGTCGCGTTTGGTGATCAGACTACGTTTAAAAGTCGTGGCATATTAGAGTGAGATTTCTCATGCAGCGAAGATCGATTATATATGTCTAAAGACGAATAATTAGTGCAAAAAATTAATTGTTTATCATTCGTTTGCTCAGCAGACGCTTAAAATGTTAAAAATAGTCCAGGACCTCCAATTTTTGAGCTACAGAGATTTTTTTTTTCAAAATTTTTGAAAAAATGTATACAATAACAATTATGAATTAATTTTTTGGAATTCGACTCCTACACGCCATTCATATAAAATGGGCAGAAAAATTATCCTTAATATTTAAAATATATTCTCGATTCTTTCAGAAATATTTTTCGGGCTATTTTACATGAATGGTGCAATTTTTTGTTACAACAAAATAACGAAAAACGAAAAATAACAAGCAAAATAATATAATAACGAAATTAGCTGTGTAGGAATTTCAAAAAATTAATTAATAATTGTACTAATAATTTCACATATTTTTTCAAAAATTTTGAAAAAAAAAACTCTGTAGCTCAAAAATTGAAGGACCTGGACTATTTTTAACATTTTAAGCATTTGCAGAGTAAACAAACAATAAACAATTAGTTTTTTTGGACTAATTATTCGTTTTTAGACATACATAATCGACCTTCAATGTACGAGAAATCTCATTCCAATAGCCCGCAACTTTAAAAAATCATAGTAGTCTACCCTTAAGAACCAAGAAAGAATGAAAAAATTAAATTTTCTGGAGAATGGATAAACAACCTTAAATGTTCAATGTGAAATATATGATACTTGTTAATCATCAGCGTGTGAATTTTTTAGTGGAAGTAAGACTTGTTTTAGAATATTTTTTTTCTATCAGTGTATGTGTGTTCAAATAAAACTTGATAAGTTAAATCCTTCCCCAAAGCCTTTTACCAATACAATCTAACCCATTTTTCCCTCCCCTAGAGTGACTTGTGCCAACAACTCTACGACACAATCCGCAACCAAAAAAAGGAAGATGGAACCCTGCTCTGCGACGCCTTCATCCGTGTCCCAAAGCGTCGTCAAGAGCCCGGCTACTACGAAGTAGTCTCCAACCCCATGGACCTACTAAAGGTGCAACAAAAACTGAAAACTGACGAGTACCGAGACATGGAAGACCTTGCAGCAGACGTTAATCTGATGGTAACCAACGCCAAGGCCTTCTACATGCGCACCTCTCCTGAATACAAGGATGCTACTGACCTCTGGGAACTCTGCGTTTCCACGAAAAGTCGAATAATGGAGGAGTACGAAGAGACCGAGCCAAAGGGAAAAATAATCCTCAAAGTTGGAAGATTCTCTCGCAAAGCCGCAGCGAAGCAGGACGAGTCTGAAGACACGTCAGAGAGTTCGACGAATCCTGATGAGGAGATGCAGCCTTACGAAGACCTCTTCATGGCCGTGATGACAGCAACAGATCCAACGGACAACAACAGACCACTCCACACGGTTTTCCAATTGAAGCCATCAAAAAAATTGTACCCAGAGTACTACGACGTTATCGACAATCCAATAGATCTGAAGACCATCGCCAGAAAGATCCAAGAGGGAATGTATACCTGCCTGAGTGAGATGGAGAGAGATCTGTTGCTGATGTGCCGGAATGCATGCCAATTTAACGAGCCTGGATCACAGATTTACAAGGATGCAAAATTGTTCAAGAAGATCATTTCTTCCGCTGCTAGGAAACAAGAGCCAGGTTCCAGTATCCTCTCCAAACTGACAACCCCTTCCACGAGAAGCAAAAGAGGAAGCCGAGGGGGACAATCGTTGATCGCTCAAACTGCTGCACTGCCTGATGAGGATGAGGAAAGCGATGATGAGGATGACGAGTCTGCGGAGGTCGATGAGAGTGACAATGCACAATGGCAACTGTTCCAGACAATTAGAACTGCACCTAATAGTCAAGGAGTTAGAATGAGCGAATACTTTTGGAAGCTGCCATCAAAACGAATGTATCCGGATTATTATAAGATGATTAAAAATCCCATTTCGTTACTCCAGATTAGATCGAAGATTAAGAAGGGGGAGTATGGGACAGTGAGTGAGGTCGCTGGGGACATGAACATCATGTTCGAGAACGCGAAGGTAATTATCCATTTTTTTCATGTGGGGAGGAAGGGGAGTGGTGTTAACCCTCTGACGAGAAGGTTCACTAACACACAGCGCTAAAGCACGGTTGCCCGTACTCCCACTCCCGCTCACACTGACAGGGGTTGGTAGGACTTTCTCGTTACAGGGTTAATGATGGGGATTTAAGGATTAAGAATAAGATGTAATTGATAAGTTGAACTGGATTGTTTGTAATTGAGCAACCATTTCGGGAAGAGTGGTTTTAGGGAGAAGTATCAAAAGACCTTTGTTGTTATTATCGAGCATTTCAGGAAACTGAAAAATGTTTTGTCACTCCACAATTATTCCATACAATTAAAACTTCATCCCGGTACTCAGCATCCTTTTCTTTTTTTCTTTTTTTTTCATTTGAAATTCATTCACCCCATGTATTTAAAAATTTTCCAATTCTTTTGATGTTCAGAAGTACAATACGCACACTTCTCGTCTGTACAAATGCTCAGTGAAACTGCAGAAAATAATGCAAGAGAAGGTCCAAGAACTTTTGGAATTCGATCAGGACTCTGATTCCGACTGCGAATCAGAAACAAACTCTCAACCCAAACTACTGAAACGTGCCTCAAACATGCTGACCAGAGGCAAATACAAGGACAACATTCCCCTGAAGAAGCGTCTCCACGCCCTCGTTAAGTGTGTAATAGAATACGTGGTAAGTGATTCTAATCCGTTCGAGACCGTCCAATCTCGAATTTACTCACAATTCATCTTTTTTTCTTTCCTTTTTTTTCAATTTATCATTCTCAGTGCGAGGACGGTAGGCAGCCTATGCTGATGTTTATGGAAAAGCCCTCCAAGAAGATTTATCCAGACTACTATCAGGTGATATCAGAACCCATCGACATGCTACAGATTGAAGCGAATATAAAATCCGAAAAATATCAGAACGAGAACGAACTCATTCAAGACTTCAAATTAATGTTCAACAACTGTCGCCAGTACAACGAAGAGGGTTCCTTGATTTCCGAAGACGCCAACACATTGGAACGAGTCTTGATGGACAAAGTGAGAGAACTAGGACCACTGCCAGACAATCGTAAATCCATGAATCTAACTCCAACGAGAAATGTTGGTCGACCAAAGAAAATTGTGCCCCTTCATCTCCAAAAGCTTCGAACGATGTATGACACGATAAAAGAATATCACGACGCAAAGGGACGTCAGTTATCTCAGATTTTCATGAAATTACCCAACAAGAACGAATACCCAGATTATTACGAAGTGATAAAACAGCCCATGAACATGGAGAAGATTGCCTCTACCCTGAAAGCTAATGGATACGAGAGCCTGGACGAACTAGTCTCAGATTTTATCCTGATGTTCGATAATGCCTGCAAGTACAACGAGCCTGACTCCCAGATTTATAAAGATGCCTTAATCCTGCAACGTTTGGTACTTCAAACAAAATTACAATTGAGTGAGGACGAGGAGAGTGTTCCAGATGTTCCAGCAGCAGTCCAAGAGATATTGGCTACAATTTTCACTGCTTTGTACAATCATCAGGACGAAGAGGGTCGTTGTTACTCAGATTCAATGGCTGAATTACCAGAACATGACATCATCGATGGTAAAAAAATCAGAGGATTGTCGTTGGATCTGATCAAACGTAGACTGGATAAAGGGGTTTATAAGAGACTGGACAGGTTCCAGGAGGATGTCTTCTCTTGTCTAGAGAGAGCACGACGCCTGTCTAGAACAGATTCCCAACCATTTGAGGACTCTGTTGAACTTCAGGCATTCTTCTTGAGAACTCGAGACGAAATAACTCGAAGTGGAGACCTTCTACACTCACCAGCACTCAATTACACCCTCCTAGACCTTTCTAATCAAGTAGCTGAGTTGAAACGTCTGAAATTCCAGCAAGAATCGTCGTTACCCCTTGAGGAAGAGTCCTGCGATGGTAATGAAACGAAGGAAACTGAAGCGAGTCCCGTTCCAAGTGTAAATGTCAGTGAAAATGGTGGCACTATGAGTTTCAATCAAGAGACGTACAGAGCTGGTGATTTTGCTTATATTGAACCATCCGAAAGGGGCATGGAGTGCTCTGTTGTCCTGATCTTAAGACTCTGGACGAATGCTGAGGGCCAACAGATGTTGTATGGAAACGTGTTCTACCGGCCTAGTGAGACTTATCACGTTGCATCGAGGAAATTTCTTGACAAGGAATTATTCAAGAGTGATATACATATTGCTGTGCCTCTCAGCAAGATTGCTGGCAGGTGCTGTGTACTCAGTGTTAAAGATTATTTCAGAATGCAACCTGAGGGATTTCTGGAGAAAGATGTCTATGTGTGTGAGTCGAGGTACTCTACCAGGGCTAGGAGTTTTAAGAAGATCAAAATTTGGAATTTCGATCCTGACAATTTGAAATTAGTCCCTAGGGATAAGAGTTTGGAACCTAAACGAGTTATTTCGGTTTATAAAGAGAGGCTCGAAAAACATAAGGAGGAAATTGCTGAGCTGGAGGAGGGGGAGAGAATTATGGAGAAGGAGAAGCCAAATGTTCTGCTGTTTGATACTGGAGATAGTGAAAATACTTATTATGAGCAGTTCAACACGTGCGGAGGCACGGTGAAGACCGGGGACTTTGTTTATGTGGCAACAGAGGGTGGCAGACAGCAGATTGCACAGATTGACTCACTGTGGAGTACTAAGGACGGAAAGGGATATTTCAAGGGACCATGGTTGTTGACACCGCCTGAGATTCCCCATGCTCCAACTAAACTGTTTTATAAGCAGGAACTGTTCTTGTCAGTTAATGAGTGCACCCATCCCATCGTGGCAATTGTAGGAAAATGTGCTGTACTCGATTATGGAGAGTACATCTGTAGTGAGTATTTTTTATGCAATTCTTATTTTAATTGAGGGATGCTTGAAGAGAAGTGGTTACCATCATCAGGAGATGGATTTTTTTTAAGCATTTAAGGCCGGGGTGTACTATCTTTCGAATGTTATCTGGATTTTTTTTTATCCTTCGTAATCCAAAATTGTCAATTGAGTGGTACATCATGTAGAAATTCCCAAAAATTATGATAGAATGATTTTTAAAAAATAGGAAAAATTCTGAACTTTTTCAAAGAGCGTTTTTAATGGAGATTCAGAATGAGTTGAAAAAAGTGGAAATTGCAAATATCTGATTCGCTGTGGTAAATTATCTATTAGCTGTCATTTTCCATGGTGGATAACAAAACACTAACTCCTCATGGAAGTGACAGCTAGGTATCTCAATTTTCAAAACAGTGGTATGTAGCCATCTGCCATTTTTATGTGATAAAAGTGTGATTAAAAAATTCTCCAAAATATTACAACTATTTTCAAAGAGCCTTTTCCGTAATAAATGTCTCTGTGAGGTGTGGGACAAGATTTACGAAATCAGTCTTGCCCCTGCATGATATTGGGTGCCAGGCCGCCATTTGTCACCGTAAATCAGATACATTTTTCAATTTGTTGTTATTCAACTTATGCTCTTTGAAGAAATTAAGAATTTTTTCTACTTTTTTTTTGATTATTCATTCATAATTTTTCAAAACTTCTGCATGATGCAGGACTTAATTGACAATTGCAGATGACGAAAGATGAAAAAAAAAATCGAGATAACGTTCGAAAGATAGTACACCCGGGCCTTAAACCTATAGGTTTACTCTGATATACAATAATGATATTAACACATCGCGTGTTTAAAAGCAAAGGGTCGTATATGCGAAAAATTTTCTTCTCCGGCAAAAGGTCGTATCCGCCAGCATATACGACCTTTTGCTTTTAGGAATCCGATCAAAGTGAACCCAAAAAATTGAAAATATCTCGAGTTTAGTTATCAATGGAAAAACGACCTTTTACTTTTTATGAAGTTAGAAAAATGTCTCATCTAAAGCGAAAAGGTCGTATATCCAGTTTTATATTTTGTGTGTACTTTGTTATTTCCATCTCTTTGAAAAAGTTCCCTTCAATTTCACTCATTTTTCATTACAGAAATCAGAATATCCTCCTATTCATTGAGAAAATAACGGATAGAATTTCTTCATGCATGGAATGATCATGCGCCCATGAATTTACGATTGTTAATCATTATAACCTGAAGAAGTTTCAAATTTCCTCTAAACATGGTTCAGCATACACAGATAGAAAAAGTGGATTAGCTTTAGAAAAAAATTTCTAAATTATCGAAACCGTTTCTAACCTTCAGTTTTCAAAAATGTAGAAACTTTTTTCAAAGTTAAAAAAAATTGTTTAAAATTAATCCCCATTTTGATCATTAATGAAGTCCGCATTTTGACCATTAATTTTAAACAATTTTTTTCTAGCTCGATCACTAGATATAGTTAATTTTAGAAAAAATATTTTCTACAATCTAGAAAATTTCTTTAATTTTTGAGGGGGCATTTTGCAAAGAGGTTGAGGAGGGGTTGTGAATTGTAAATTGACAATCAAAAAAGTTGAGTCGGTGAGTTTTTCAAAAATATCTCCAAAACTAACGGAGACAGCGAATTTTTACTGAAAATTTGAGGGAGAGGGAACTTTTCTTGAATTCTCGATGTAAAACCCTCCCCCTCACCCTTCCACAAGTTTTCCCCAAAATTCGTTTTTCTTAAATATTTAAATCATTTCTCTCGAAAATGTATCGATAGCCATCAAACCTCTGATATTGAATGTACTAAAGAGGATTTTTATGTCGGAGGACGGTTAGGGGATTGATTGTAAATATTGAAGAAACTAGGAAATTTCGCGAAAAAGATTGAATGTTTTTTTTTGTAAGGAAATTAATTTTTCTAAAAAAAAATTCTTCCGACCTTTTTTGTATAAATCAATCGTGGTTGCGATAACTGATAAAAATTTTAATTCACTAACCTGAGTTAATTATATCCAAATAAAATAGACAATATGCACCAAATGGCCATTAGATTTATTATCTGTACATCTTAAATTCCATAAAACAATCCCCTGAATAAGGCAAAAAATAAATGTTGTCAATTTTATTTCGTCAAAGCTACTCTACCTAATTTTTCTTAATTATAAAAAAGTGTCAGTATCATATGTTCCCGCATCAGTCTCAAAGATTACTGAGTTTTTCTCGAACATAAAAATATTCTTTAATATTCTTTATATAAACCGACGTCGGTGGCCGAAGCGGCTAGGTGCGAGCCTAGTGTGCGAAAGGTTGTGAGTTCGATTCCCCGTGGAACCGAGTTTTTCAACCGGAGGCTCCGGCGAGCGGGAGGTCGCTAATAGAGTTGACCGCCTGTACCGGCATGGGTTTTCTGTGGTTTCCCATGCTACTCCTATGTTCTATAGGAGTGCGAATGCGGTGCAGTGTAGAATCCACAGCCGCGCATGCATAGGGTTGGATAGGGCCGATTAGCCAATCAGAGGGCAGAAAGGGCTGGAATATATAAAAAAAAATAAAAAATTCTTTATACAAATAACAGAAATTCACGAACAGCGTATTTTGCAAATATCAAGGAAATTCACGGGTTCGGGGAAGATTGTGAAAAGATCGTCTTCATCTATATACAATTATTTTTCAAATGCTTCAGACATTTTGTTCTCGATGGATAAAAATGGTGGCAAGAAAACATTCTTCTTTTTTTCTCCAATAGATAAAAAATATGAATCCGCTTTGACCATTCTTGCAAAGTATTGCTAATTTTCTGATAATTAATCATGGTTACTAAAAAAAAACTTTGTAATAACATGCTATGGAAAACCAATTCTTCTATTTTTAGGAAGTGTTCACCTGCTTATTAAATGAGTGCAAAGACTTGTTACCATAAAAAAAAATGATGAATTTTACTTATCATGCTTCATAAATCTCAGTATAGAATTGCACTTGTCAACCGCAAGTATCCTCTCACTCTATTCTGTTTACATCAACATGAGCCAATAAAACTTTATTGATTATATTTTTGTTTACAGGTCGACCCACAGAGATACCTGAGGATGATGTATTCATTTGTGAATCAACCTACGACGAGAGTAAGAACTTGATGAGAAAACTGAATCAAGACGGTTTAAAAAAATACAATCACACTTCATCAGTAACCGAGGATGAGATTTACTTCTTCAGAAGGCCTATAAACCCTGCAAAGGTGAGTCTCCACTACTTTGGAACAATCATGGAAATAAAGGGAGAAGACATTATGAAAACAATTCACTAGAAAAATATTTGTTACTTCCATGACGTAGTTATCGATCGGATATTTGTAAAAAATCGGTTTGTCCATTCCGTCTTTCGCCGCTAACATTTTACGATGTAATCGCTTTTGTTGCATGTATTGCGTGTGTTGTAGGTATCGAGCGATGTGGCACAGGCACAATCACCCGTCAAGTCAATCGTATCCAGTACAGCTCAGTTTGAAATGGTAATTCATTTATCTAATATCGCATTTCACCATGGAAATATTTATTTTCGTCCATCAATGGAACTACATCAACATCACGCATGCTTACTTGCCTGTGCACAAGCTCATGCAGTTGGTGTTGTATTTCAGCCATTCATCGATTTATTATTTTACTAATTGATTGATAGTAGTAAATATTGATTGATGGTAGTGCTAGTGGCTGCCCCAGCCTGGATCTGTGCATGAACATTTTATGCCGGCATATTTGCATATTGTCTCATTTGTGGCCATTCAGTTTTTTGTTTTATTTTTTCATTATTATTTTCATTATGTTTTACTGAGGTTTCGTTTAGTTATGAAGTGGCAAAGGAGTTTGAGTGGAATGTGGTAATTAGGGGAATGTTTCGATGATGAGGGGGTTGAGACCAAAATGTCATCGGGCCTTCAATTTAGTTGAGGTCAGTTTAGTTGATAATTCGGTAAACATTATGGGATGATTATTCAATTGTTTGAAAATGACTCACTCTCGCTACATTTCTGTAGCTGAATGGAGATAAGTATGCACTGAGAAAACAATTTTTTTGAGAAGTACGTCTTCACTTCAAGAAGCTCATGGCTTGAAAATTGACAAAAACAGAATATCTCACATTGAGAAAAAAAACCTTTCGTCAAGAGATTTTGTACTTGTCCGAAAGATAAGGGGCAATTTGTTCACAACAAGAATTCGACTTCTCCAACTAAGTCAAATGGTTTTTGCATTAAAATTTTTTGTAGTTCAGACTTTAAAGCTATTGAATAAACTGATTCAACTAGACTTGATTTGAGAAATCCCTTTCTTGTTATCAACAACTTATCCCCGTCTTTGAGACAAGTACAAAATCTCTTGACAAAAGTTTTTTCTTTCTCAGTGTAAGATATTTTCTCCTTGTCAGTTTTCGAGCCATGAGTTTCCTGATACAACTGAAGTAATACTTGTCAAAAAACTTTTTTTTTCTGTGTGGAGATATTCCAATTATAAATTATATTATGAACAAATTTTAAGGAATTTTCTTTTGTCAAACAAAAACATTTCAACAAGAAACATTTCTCAATACTCCCACCCCAGACCAATAATTACCGATACATGCTATTCACCACTTCAAAGCTAAACTAGTCATTGTTAAAAAAAAGCAAATTCCACGATCATCACCGACATTGAAATACGTGAGCACCTGTTGGGTTCATCTTTGCAAAAAATTGAACGTCTCAAAAAAATTCAAAATACAAAGAGGGGAATCAATTTCCGCGTTCGAGTTTTTCAAATTATCTAAAGTATTATCTATAAAATTAGCGTGAAAATTGAATAGAGTGACAAGACAATTGCATAAATATCTTTCTCATTATCGTGGAAAATTGTATGCAATTGTCAATGAATTGGAACTTAGAATTAATACGTAATATTCAAAAAAATGAATAAATGGTGTAGGAAGCATCACCATTGCTACCGAAGCTGGAAGCCGAAGTGCTAGGAATGGGAGTGGGATTAGGCGTAGGGGAGGACAGCATGGATGCAGGTGGGCCACCGTCCGTTGGTTCCACCGAAGCTCAACCGGTGCTCTCCAATACTCAAACGCCTGTATCTACTAAAAAGGTAGGCACGACGTGCTAATCGAAAACTGCTCATTCATTTATTTATTAATTATCCATTTATCCTCTGAATTACATGAATTAATGATATTTTGTTTTAAAAATTTGCATTTTAGTTTTCCATTGATTTTTTTCACATAAAATATGCCAGCATATTTATCATTTTTTCACAATTTGAAGTGTCAATATTTGATTTGTTTACCATGAAAGGAGTTATTTCTTAGTTCGTAGATTTGCACTCAGTCACTTGATGATTAATATGCCATAATCATTTTTTTTTTCAATTGGAAATTCAACGGTGTGGCAGAGAATAAGAGAGGAATTTCAATATTCTATACAATTTATTTGACAAAACATTATCAGCTAGATGAAAGTTTAATGACATTTTCTCTAAGAATGTGGAATATTTTCAAATTTAATTTTAAAAAATCTCCAAATTATTTCCTTTTCTGTGCCACTCGTTTACTAAATATTAATTGATGGTTATTAAGTGGTCGGTGGATTAATTTTTTATTATTTACATCATGTCTTCTCTTCTCTGTTTAGAAAACAACGGGTAAGAAATTAGTTACGGGATATATTTTGTATTCGAGTAAAATGCGAACGCAAATTACTCAAAATAATCCTGATTCGACGTTTGGCGAGATTAGCAGAATTGTTGGCAATGAGGTATTTATTTTCATTTTATTTTAACGGTTCATTTCCTCCAAAATAACTTTGGCGTTCATTAAATTTCATTGGATATGTGCTTGACACAATGCCCGTAAAATTTGAACGTATAAATTTTATTGTCTAAAAACTTTAATTCCAGTGGAGAAAATTGCCAGCTGGTGAGAAACAGGCGTGGGAGGAACGAGCAGTCAAGATGAATGAGGGTGGCGAGGGAAAAACCCCTGGTGCGGGGGCTGGTATACCAAATGATCAGGTCTACGAGTGCTGTTGGGACAATTGTGATTGGCAATTCGAGGATATGACGGATTGTATTGATCATTGTATTGCTGAACAGAGTGGACATGTGCAATCGTCATTCATCAATGCAGCTCCTGACGCCTCTGAGTTCCAGTGCCAATGGAGATCTTGTGGGAGAGTTAAAAAAGCAGTGCCACCATTTCCAAGTGTACAGAGACTCGCGAGGCATGTCAAAGAAGTGCATATTCTCAAGGGAAATGGAAGAATAATTCCTCCCAATGAAAGAAGCAAGTATGTAATTCTTCATTTCATTTCGATTTTTTTTATTGATTAAGAAAAAAATTTGCATCAAAACAGACGGAACAAGTTTCTATGATGAAATTCTCTTCATGAATTATTCTGACCCACCTTATTAGTCAGGGTGTCCAGTCGTCAGGGAAATCTGGAAAACCGGAAATTGTCAGGGAATTTGATTGATCTCGAAATGTCTGGGAAAAGTCCGGGAATTACGACAATTTTCTGGAATTTGAAAATTTGAAGCTGATTTTCTCCAAGTACCTAAATTTTTGGGAATTCTTCTGTTGACAAAAAACATTGCCCTGGAATTTGATCTCAAATTCACTTACAAAAGTGGGATCTTAAGGATAATCGGGCGAGGAGGAAATGTAGGAGGTGAGGCGGAGGGGTTTCTATTGTTTTCCTGCAGAAAACCAATCGCTGAACAAAAAAATTTTTCCCATTCGGATTCAAAATTCAGGCAATATTAGGGAGTATCTCCGGTTAAAAATTATTTTTGGAGCTAATCAAATTCATTTGTATCCGTTTCATGCATTGAATGGTTTTCAGTTTTTTTTTTTTTTATAAATGAAAAAATATTAATCCATGCGAAAAAGTGGCAACATCGTCGGTAGTGTTTTTTTTTTTCACCAGGAATTGGTACCACTGGTTCGAAGGAGCTCTAATCACAACGTTTCATCGCTCTTTCTCAAGAGACGTTGAAATTAACCGCGCTACCCCCACCCGATCGGTACTTGAGACGTTGCTGCTGGTTTGGGCTGCGTGCGCAGAAATTTCATTTTTCAGTACTTTTTTTGCTATTATTAATAAACAATGCTCCTAGGCGACAATCTTTTTCACTCAAAAAATCATTGATCACATGTTCTAAATGTGTCTAGTTTCATGACTTTGACTGCTTTTTTTCCTTGGGTTTTGCAGTTTTTTTTTTGTGATTTCCATAAGATCACGGGTTAAATGACCACTTTTTTCCAAAATCTGTAGGCTGTCCACTAGATTTAAAAATCTATTTTTCTCAATCCATTCTATGCAATGGAAAACGAATACTCAATTTTGTTCTTTGAAGTCTGACGAACATTGAAAACAAAAATCTCAATTGGATGAAAATTATGATCCAAGAAAAATTTTGAAGGTGAAAATGGGAAATGACGGTGACAATTTCCTCAATTCTGATTTTGACCAATCAGAGTGCAGTATTCGGAGTCACGTGACGCGTTTCACACTGATAATTTCCCCGACTGCAGGGAAATTATCAGACTGATAATTTCCCTGTAGCCTGTCAATTGTTTTCTACGAATTTGACAGATATTCCTCACATTTTGGTGAGATGTGTCCCGCAACCCCAAACACTGCACCCTGATCGGCCAAAATCAGAATTGAAGAAATTCTCCTCCGAATACCCCTCGACCTTCAAAATTCATCGGATATTTCCCTCAAGTTTTCCTGCATATCAACGATCGGGATCAGCTTTTCAGTAAAATCCCTCGCGCTACGCGCTCGGGATTTTAATCTGCAAAACTGGTCCCTCTCGTTGCTATGCAACAAAACATTCGGGAAATATCCGATAATTTTGAAGGTCTTGGGGTATTATAGCTGAAAATTCACTTGAGGGTCCTTTCGCCAATCAAAGATAATTTTATTTTACCGACGTCTGTCTTTCAATTTCGTTCGGTACAGGAGTTAATGTGCATAGATCCATCTATTATTCATTGATTATCAGCGTCAGGTGATCCTCGTTTATCAACTGTTTTAATCCTCTAAGGTGAATTTCAATATCCTCACTCTATGGCCTTCAAAACGAAATGCCGGTGTCCCTATTAAAGCGTCCTACTACGCTTTTCACCTTAAAGTCTATAAATTTAACATTCTTTCATAAAAAAAAAGTTTTCTATGGTCAGGGAATTTCATCAATTTGACCGGGAAAAGTCAGGGAATTTTGTTGAAACTTCCCGGTGGACACCCTGTTAGTGAAATAATTGCATAATCAGATTTCAAGTGTGTCGCAAATCCTTTTTTTCGTCAACATAACTGACTTATATTTTTTTTCCGAAGGAATTTTATGGCATCGAAAGGACCAACGATACTCCCACCAATGGAATCAGGTAAAATGACAGTTTATTATTAAACTTTGTAGAGATTGTAGTTTCCTCAATAGAAACAATTTTGTTGACCTTTCTTAATCGGAATGGATCGTTTAAAATCATGACAAGCTCAGATAATTTTCGTCTCACATTGATCAATTCTCTCTTCAGAGAGTATTCCTTGTTTTTCAGTTGCACCCACAGTGACTCCACCGACTCCACCAAACAATACCCCAGCGGTTAAGCAACCAGAGCCATTATTTGTAGCTGTTCCCCCGAGACCAAGTCGTGTCCTCCACTCCGATGCATATTTAAGGTGAGAAACAGTCATGTAGCAAATTCCGATCAATCAATTTATTTCGGAATTTCTTTCATTCATACTCCAATGATGAAAACATCGTTTGTGCATGCGTAAAATGTCATGGGATCTCTTGATGGTGTCTTGAAGATCTTGATTACTTGATTTTCAAGTGTTTTATTTTCATTTTCAATGAGAAAATGCTCGTGATTCCGAGAGAGAACGAAGTAAGGTAAATGACCCTACGCTCGTCTAGCTGAGGTGAACACATCATTAGTCCAATATTTCTATCGAAATGAGCGTCAAGATGGGATGGTTTAAATTAGATAGCAGAGGAGAAAACCTTCAGAATTGGAATTAACTTATATTAATCATCATAATTACTATTTTTTAATAAATTACCGTTCGTAAATGTGGAAAGTCCCATGTCCCTACGCTCGCTCACTTGTTTCCATGCACGTTTGACACATGTCCCTATCCTTGTCTTATGATCTGAGTTATATGGAAAGGTTATATCCGAACTAATTACATCGTGAGTATTCTATTTCGTGATGAAACAACATTAAAAAATATCTCGAAGCACAAAATTATATTTCAACTAGAGTTAACAGTTGACTGTTGGTTGCAAAACGAGCATAGGAAGCCATATGCATGCCATTTCCATTGTACCTATTCTTCTAAGTGCCAATATTTCAGTGAAATATTTAGATATTAGCATAATTTATTCATTTTTATTGAATTTTCAAGTATCCGAAACCTCATTCAAGGATTTTTTAATCCCATTTTACTATTTTAACGGAGATATCAACATTTTACAATTGTGAGTTTCGTAACTGGCGGCTTAACAATTCGCTCTGTCCTAGCACCAGTTGATGTGAATGGGATTTTTCTCTTTTATTATTAAATAAATTATTGTTCATTTGTGTCGATAACTTTCCGTATTGACTAAAATAATAACTCCCATCGTATTTCACTCTTAATAGAGTCTTGATACTATGGGAGTGCCTCCAGTATCCCAATAGTGAAAGAGATCTCATGATATCCAAGCTAATTAAACTTAAATACCAAAGACCGTACACCATGCATGAGTCCCTGGCGTCAACGAACTAGGAACCTCTCAAAATAATCCTTGAATTAATAAAAACATGTAAAATTAGAATTTAATGTAAGTGCAGACAATCAAATGCTAACTATTCTCCAATTTAAACAAATTTGTTTACAACGTTTTGTTAATAATCAAGTAAGGGTTACTACATATCAATAAAAAAATAGATTCTTGAGACTTTCAAAATGACTAAAATGTCGTAGATCGGAACATCTGAACGAGCATAGGGACAAGGACGAGCATAGGTACATTTACCTTATACTAATAAATATAATAATTAATTTGTATTGTTTGTTTTTTTTTCAGATATATCGAAGGCTTAAACGTAGAGAATCGTTACATATCTAACTGGGACAAGCAGATGAATGCAACACCTGAGAATACACAGATTCCTGATGTAGCAAAACTACCAGCCGAGTGGCTTGGCAATGGTGTTGGCAATCATGGTAATGTCGTTAATGCCTTGTGGACACTCAGAAACATGATGATGCGGGATGTGTTAGCCATCAATAAAACTTTATAGTTTATCAATCGTTAAGATCTATATTCGTTCATATTTTATGATACCTTGAATAAAAAAGAAAAAGGAGAGAAGAGAGAACAAAACGAGTGACAAATGATTACTTATGGAACAATTAGAACAGTGCTACGTTAAGACTGACGTTTGATTTTTTTTTCAATTATGGAAAATAATTTTCTGTCAATTGTTCATTCTTAATTCTCATTTGATTCATTACACCATTTTTTTGTAGTAAATTAAGTCGATGTGGAATTTCTATTGTTCTTAGGTAAAAATGATATTTTTTCTGTTTTTTTTTTTCAAGCTTAAGGATTTTTGAGGATTAATCTCTTATTTTCCAAACTATTATCGTCGTTTGCTGTTCGTGAACATAAATTTCATCAATAACGAAAGGTCTAATTCCAGTATTGACACTAATGTAACAAATTTAAGAAAAAATGATTGGTATTATTTTGTAGATTAAAAGAGAAATGAATTAAGATTGTTATAATTTCCTTTGTACTTTGGGATAAACGATTTTATATCTTATAACAAAAAAATGGAAGCCACATTGACAAGTATTGAGGAGAAGTTTTTGGGGATTTCAAAAATCACTAACCCGACCACCGATCTGCCAATCTCCCCATTTTGTTGGATTCTTCTCAGATTCGGGAACGTATTCACCGCTCTTTGGATCAACTTCGATTAGGAGGAGATCGTCAACTACAAAGAAACGTCGGAGATTATTTGTTCCATATTTTCTTTGGGAATTGATAATTTCGCTAATGAGTGGTAGAAGGATTTAATTCGTAAGTCATTTTTCGGGAATTTCACTAAACTAGTTTTGGAGCGTATGGATAGAAAAACAAGTGGTAAATTACTCTTGTATTGCATATAGTATAGTTATTTTTGCTAATAAATTAGCAATATGCTTCCGAATGGTTATTTTGCACATCATTTCCTTCTATCATGTATAATTCACTGATTATTTCATTTTATTAAATTGAATAAGATTTCTCAACTAATTTTGTCAGATTATCAACTTTGTTGAATTTTATCATCATCATTATTCTTACTATCCCTTTCTTCTATACAACCGATTGTCTTTTTTGCGGTTTTATCTCTCCCCTCAGCCCTTGGATAAAATGTTGATAGAAAAATTTTATTTATACATACTTGATTGAATTTGAAACATCACATTTGAAGAAATCATCAGAAAGCTCACTTTCAAGGAAATTCATGAAAAATTGAAAATTTTCAACTACCACCATGAAAATCAAATCAACCAATATAGCTCTCGTAATCATCTTTTAACTCCGGCGTAATAGCATAGAAACAAATATTTTAAGACATGATTGAATTCATTTGAAGCATGACATTCAAACATATCCCCGGAATTCTGATTTACAAAAAATAAAAATTTTGCAAATTTTCAAATAAATCAAAACGATTATTCCTATCGCCGGTCAAAAGGATAACCAAATAAATTTTTTAATTAATGTTGATAGATAGGGCTCAACAATATCTACATTTGAGAAAAAGGATTTTTCCAACATAGATCAAGATTTAAAATATACTAATAGAAATTTTTAAATAATAAAATAATTGATAACTTGAATTTTTAATTGATGATGAATTAAATATTGAAAAATATGGAACTATAAATTTTCTATTAAGTAGATAATACTTAATTTCTTATAAGGGATTTCCGATTATCCAAATAATCGTCAATCTTCCTACCTCAATCACTGATTATTGAATAATTCAAAATTTCACTATTTAAATTGATGATTACTTCAATAATTAAAATTTAAAAGTGATATTAACTAATTGACTACTCAATAATTTAACAATAATTATAATTGATGGATATGGCTATCCCTGGAAAAATTTAATAATATTAAATTTTTCTGAATTATAATGTATCATCCCAATTACACATTTTATGATTGGCACTTGTAAATGTTTAATTTATAGTGCGCAACTTGACATGTATTGAAGTATGTGCAATTCAAGAAAAATAGAAAATCCATAAAAGTCGGGTTTTGAAGTATACAATATGGAGTTAGAAGGGATTGGGTTCACTGAGAAAAAATATATCTTTGTCAAATATTCATTTACTTGAGAGAAACATTTTTGCTTTTTCAAAATCGTATTTCTTCCACGGAGTCATTCCCAGGCGACCCTGATTAGGTTTCAATAATGACAATCATGTTGCTCCAGAGGATGACTGTTCAACATGATCTTGGATTACCTTCTCGAATGATTATTAATTTTTCCTAAATTTCTTATTTTCCCAGAAAATAAGAAATTTAGGAGAAATTTCTTATTTTAAAACAGGGAAGAATTTCAATTAATTTTTTAATATTTATAATTATTGAGGGAGTTCACTCATGATTAACTAACATGATCATCTTCTAGAGCAATCTCTAGAACTAGTGAACTCCCTGAATAATTATAAATATTGAAAAATTAATTGAAATATAATTAAATATTGAATATAATTAAATATTAATTGAAATATAATTGCCATAATTGAAACCTAATGAGAACTGCCTGGGAATGACTCCACTGGAAAAATACAGTATTGAAAAAATGAATACTTGTACCCAAGTAAATGGATATTTGGCAAAAATATATTTTTTTCTCAGTGTTGGTACGCTTCAATTCAGTGGAATTTAATACGTAGGTATATTCTGCAATTTGAATAAAAGGCGTGCAATTTCTGACAAGGTTTCAATGCAAAATGTGTCAAAAAATGAAGACTTCATTGGGTGTAATAGCTAATTTTGCCGGGAATCTCATAGTTTTACGAGGCATTTACTCACCAGGCATTTCCAACTCCAGTTTCTTGTGAAACTTCTTCATTCTTTCTGATTCATTCTGAGCATTTTTTTGATCTCTTAGGATAAATCCTATCACAACATAACACAAATAATCATGATTTAAATTCATTTTGAAATAAGAATTTACCTTTTTTACCTGTGGAAAATCTCAGATGATTCCTCATTGGAATCGATGTCAGAAAAATAAATTTTCGTGCATTTAACATATCAAACGTCTCTCTAGCGACAAATGACGAATGAAACATTAGAGAATCAAGTATTTTTATTCTATTTCGTATTTATTCTTAAAAACGAGAATAATCCTTTGAAAATTATAACAATGACTTAAAAATCGGAAACTCGTCCTTTTCGCTCCCAATCTCCATAGCGAGTGGGCTCTGGGCCTCGTGGACCTCCAACTTCACCAGTATTTGGATTTGTATTGTTTGGATGAGGCTCGAGGGGTTCTTTCTCCTGATAAGGATGCTTTCCCTCCTCTAATTCCTCCAATTTTCCTAAAAACAGCATTTGAAACGTTTATTGCTATCACCGCAGAAGTAATTCAAGCAGTCGAGACAAAATTTTGAAAGATCTTTCAAGTTGAAAATTTTCTCATCTAAAAAAAGCTTTTCGAGGTGGATATTCATGTAAGTGCTTAAGAGCTTAATTTAAAGCTGTTGAACATTCAAGTTACTGATTTTAGGAGGCATTGTCAATTTTTTTTTTGTAATGATTTTCTAAAAATCAAATTTGACGATTTTGTCAGTAATCATGAAAATCCCAATTTTCTCTTTTAAATCGCATAGACAATGTGCTGTAACTCAACAACGTAGAACTCTCATCATATTCTGATAGAATCAAGAGAGTATTGTTATCAATTTTTTTAATGATGACTAATTCCATTTTGATATCAATTTTTTGAGTGATCATTGAAAAATTCATTTTTGGACAAATGTTTTTTTTTCGAATCTGTGTGAAGAATTAAATTGCAATCGGGGTCAATGAGTCTATATTCATGAAAAAATTACATACATACATGAGGTATTCCATGCCAAAATGAGTCAACGGGTGAACCTCGCCCTTTTAGAAATTGATCTCGATATTTTCTACGATTGGGAGGCTACAAAAAGCATCTAAATTTTTTTCAGATTTTCTCCAAAGGCCATTTTGGAGATACGATATGATATGATTTTTATGTGATGTGATTTTTTCTTTGCTTTTTCATTTTTTTTTCAATAACTCGGATTCTATTCAGCCGATTTTAATTTATGATGGCTCAAAATTTTCTGTTTTCTACCATCTATAAGAAGATTTTGGGTATTTTTTTTTCGATCCGTAGGTGTTCATAATAGGGAATTAGAAAAAAAAATTGAAAAACTTGAATTTTCAACATTACGTCTTCTTTCATGTTTTTCATATTTTTTTCAGTAACTTTTATATTCAAAACAAATATTTTGAACCGTCATACAAGTTGGGTTTCGTCCTGGATCTCCTTTATTTTTCTTTTGTTCTTATCTTGTCCAAAACGACTTCGATTATGTATCAAAAACGAGATAACATGTAAGTGTACATTTAAATTCACATCATACTGTTTATAATCAAAGTCAATCAAAGCCATTTTAGGATATTTTGACCAAATTCGCGGAATTTCGAGAAGAAAAAATTAAAAATAAAATAGATCTATGACGAAACGCAACTTGAATGATGGCTCAAAATACTTGTTTTGAGTACAAGAGTTACTGAAAAAAGACGAACAATAAAACGTTACATAATATTGAAAATACAAATTTTTCAACTTTTTTTTAAATTCGGTATTATGAGCACCTAGGGGTTGAAAAAAAAATTACTGAAAATATTGTTATAGATGGTAGAAAATCAAAAATTTTGAACCATCATAAATTAAAATCGGATGAATAGAACTGAAGTTATTGAAAAAAAAAATGAAAAAACAAAGATAGAATCATATCTCCGAAATGGCCTGTTAAAAAAATCTGAAAAAAATTGAGAGATATTTTTTCTATTCCTCCAGTCGTAGAAAAAATTGAGATCAATTTCCAAGAGGGTGAGGGTCAGCTGTTGACTCATTTGACATGGAATACCTCATACATGCATACATACAAACAACATCTAAAAATATGTGGACGTCCGCATGAAAAGGGACCACTTTGTCCATATGGTGTTATGTATACTCTGATAATATTGATAACATTCCGCACATTTTGACCCCGAAATGATCTTCATGGGGTCAAAAATGACGTCGTTGGAGAAGATGGAAAAAACAATTTAACATTGGTGCAAATGGGAGTTACTGACACAAAAACGTGAATATCTCGGAAACTAGAATCGACAAAGTGGTCCCTTTTCATGTGAACGTCCACATATTTAGTTACCCTAACACAAAAAATTGGAAACTTAATGATCTTGGTTGTTTTTTTTTATTTTGATAATCTGAAATGATCTCCAATTGCTATTCAGTTTTACATAGCCCTGGAGTCACAAAAAATTATGATTGTACAATCAAAAAAACGTTGAAAAAAAGCTGAACATTTGCAAAGAGCGTTTTTTAATAATATTGGGAAATAAACCCAAAAGAGAGGAAATTGCAAATTAATAATTTGATGTATCTAATGGCTGTTAGGTCGTCATTTATCACAGTAGTCAATGGCTGTCAGATCCTTAGTTACCATAATAAATTATCCATTCACTATTTCCTCTCTATCGGACTTATTTTTTAATCTTTATTAAAAATGCTCTTTGAAAATGTTCATTTTTTTTCTACTTTTTTCGATTGTACAATTATAATTTTTAGGGATTCCTGCGTGATGTAAAATTCAATGGAAATTGTGAAATGATTTACATTATGATGGAAAAACAATCGAGATAACGTTAGATAGATCATCCACCCGGGCCTTAAATTAGAACGATTTCAAATGGCAATTAGAATAAATATAGAGGACAATGTGAAAAAATACAATGAACCCTATGGCTCAGGAAAACCGGACCTACTCAGATGAATAATGCAAAGATTTGACACCATAAGAGCCGTATAATCTCGTGCATTCGGTGCATATTGTCCATCTGATGTTGATTTTTCAATATTTTTTTTCCCAAACTGATAGAGGATACGAAGATATTTCCAAAATTATCAGAACCATCACAGTCAGTTGAACCTTTTCGCCACTTCCCTGGTAGTATTTTCTTTGGAATTACCTATTGGTGTTTTTGCTCGTAATTTCTTCCTAAATTCTCTTAGCCTATCACTCTCTTTGGTTCCATCGCCATCAACACTCGCAAAACATCGAATCCCCCCTGAAAAACCCAAAAATTATGATTATTCTACAATTACTAGGTTAGGTCGTTCGTTGACATTCGATTCGACTAAACAATCACCAGAATGAGTCCATTGTTTAATCGTTGTAACGTTCAGTATCCTGCCTGTGATTCCAAGCATGGTGATAACGTGTCAAACTCAAATACTATCAGCAATCTCTATCACAGAACAGTTTCATTAATTTGACAGTCCAGTTCCTAGAAGTGCTCCGAACTGCTTGAAACACATGACAAACCAAATAAGTTGGAAGACAATAAAGAATTCTACAAGTTGGGTAATTCCTTCAGAATTATATATTTTTATTTAATGTTTATGTAACAAAAAGTCAATTCAATTTATTTTTGTGTTTATTAGTGAACATAACCAATATTTTGAGATCAAAAGCTCTTGTAATGATGTTGGAAGAGGGTTTGAGTATCCGGTCGGCTGTTTATACTCTGACAGGCGTTGTCCACTGCTCTGACGACTGTCGGGGATCCACAACTAAATACTCCAACTGTATTACTCTGTAAGAGAAAGCATTATTTAAGTATTGGAGGGATGAAATCCGATCAAAACGTCGCATATGACATTTCCGTTTTTGTTAGGAAAATATTTTAGGAACGAGTCCTCTTAGAAGAAAATATCACAGGTTATTTTAATGGAAAAAATTTTCAACCATAATTTTTTTTAAATATTTTGTGGTAAAATTAATTATGGTTCTATTTTGTTTACACAAATAGAACCATAATTGAGTACAATTTCACATTTCATATAGAAGAAAGTGGAGAGAAACCGACATTTTTTACTTTTTTGCTTCCAAATGGAAGCATTATAATCGTCCAATTTTCACATTCTCTAATTTTAATTGGAAATTGTGTAGCATGGCCTGAAACGTGAAAATACGAAGTTTAGCGACCATGACTGTATGTGAGAATGTCCACCGGCACCTTCCCGATGAGCAATTTTTAGAAGATTCAGTAATTAAGTGGCTAAAATAATTCCAAAGAATGTGAAATTATGTCAGATTATAGGTTCTAATGAGGACTAACTCTGTGCAAAATTTCAGCCCGATCGATCTAATAGTTTTTGAAAAAATGTCATGCGTTTTTAAATTCTTTTCCGCAAATATCCTCGAAACTAGTGGACCGATTTCGTTTTTTTTTGTTTTCAAAATATTCATTTCGATGCCTTCTCAAAATATATAAACCTGTTCATACAAAGTTTTCGAAATATTCCCGTTTTTCCGTTTTTTGTAATAAAAAACTTTGTTGTTTTTTGCACAAGCTCGAGCTTTTTATAAAAAACTCCAGCTTGTGCAAAAATCGAGATTTCAACGTGAAATTTGGACAGAAAGTATGTATACCCGTTCATACGAAGTATTCGGAACATTCGAATTTTTATAGCACCCATGGAGGTGGCAGTAAACAGTTGAAATTTTTGCTGCTAGTTAGTGTTGTAAAGCTATAAACTTTTGTAATGTTTCACACTATTCAGAACCCGCCAACAATGTATTGATTGCGAAAAGAAATGTATGACATCACCCAGAGACATACTCACTGTCAGAGGCTGGCTGTCCCCTGCTTATTTTAAATTTGAAATCACTCATTGAATTGCTGAAAGAAGGATAATTCTTCCCCATTGTAATGAGTCTAGAATGGGCTCCAATGATAAATTTATGTCTGATGAGTTATAAAACGAAAAAAAATTAATAGTTTTTCTTTTGCCCACCTGTTGACTTGACTTATCATACGATTTCTTGTTGAATAGTCAAACTATCTCAGTGAGGAACAATAATGATTTGTTCCAGCATCACTAATTAGCATTAATTACTACTCTATCAATTGAACTTACGTCTTTATGCATTCTATCAATTGCCAATAGAAATTGAGAGAAATCTGGTCGTCCAAAGTGGGTGACTGCTCTCAAACCAGTAAACAGAGATTTGTTCGAAATTTTTTGGAAGTGACGTTCGCAGATGTACTAAAACGTAAAACAATCATCAAAATTATACAATTCATCCATCAACTGTCTTTCAATGATTCCCTGGGTCTTGAAATTGTTAAATATTCTTCAAATGAATATTTCAACTGTTATCTAAATATTATTCGATCAAACATTAAATGATTTATGTTAGTTTAAAAATTGAAAAAAAAATTTTAAAGCAGAGAAGAGTGAAGCACAGTTGAAAGTTTACACCTTTTTATATCACCGTTAAGGTATATCCCACGACAATCGGACCCAAAAGCTAGTCTCTATGGATTTCCGGAAAAAATTCTAAATAACTTAAGGTGTTTCGTGCTAAAAAGGTAAATAATGAAATTCACCTGAAATTCATATAGAATGTTTCTAATCATGATTGAATTATCGATGAATTTTCCTATAATTTTTTCAGATTTCCTTTTCAAGTTATTAACAATTGAAGTCGCTTCTAAGACATGGGTTTTTATGGAGATTTTTCTATTTAGCACGAAACTGCGTCACCATATGAATTGATAATATAGTTTCATGCTAAACTGAAAAATCTCCATAAGAGTCCATGTATAAGAAGCGACTTCAATCGTTCATAACTTGAAAAGGAAATCTGAAGAAAATTTAGGAAAATTCATAGATAATTCAGTTATTATTATAAACATTCTATATGAATTCCAGATGAATGTCTTTATTTACCTTTTTCGCATGAAACACCTTAATTTATTTCACTCTCATAAGTTACTGAGTTTTTTTATTCTCATGCGTTGTTGATACAAGCAACAATAACTGTTGGAATCGTATAAGAAAATATTTTTTCGTGTCACGGGACCTGAAAATTAATTTTCACCACGCTGTGACGAAAAGTGAACTTTTCGGCACGCTCCGCGTGCCTAAAAGTCCAATTTCCGCCACATTGTGATGAAAAATATTGTTCGTAACTCGTGAAAAAATGTTTTTTAGCTCGTGGGATTATATCACTCGCCTTCGGCTCGTGATATAAACCTCCCACTCGCCAAAAAACACTTTTTTGCACTCGTTACGAAATATACTAATACACACCTCGTCATGGAAAACATATCACCCTCGTCTTCGGCTCGGAAGGCAATCTTGCACGTGGGGGACGGTGCTGTTTTCCAAGGCTCAAGCATGTAATGTACTAGTTAGTTATTTTTTAAATCAAGTAAGGAATCCTTTCACGGAAATTTCCATTTTTTAAAGTTGAATATCGCAAAAACTATGTAGTGGTAAATTTTATAAAAACTTCACCGTATTCGGAATTTATCGATCTATCACGGATTGGTTTTTTAAGGATAATCGGGCGAGGAGGAAATGTAGGAGGTGAAGCGGAGGGGTTTCTATTGTTTTCCTGCAGAAAACCAATCGCTGAACAAAAAAATTGTTCCCATTCGGATTTAAAATTCAGGCAATATTAGGGAGTATCTCCGGTTAAAAATTCTTTTTGGAGCTAATCAAATTTATTTGTATTTGTTCCACGCATTGAATGGTTTTCAGATTGTTTTTTTTTTAATAAATGAAAAAATATTAATCCATGCAAAAAAGTGGCAACATCGTCGGTAGTTTTTTCTTCACCAGGAGCTGGTACCACTAGCTCGAGGGAGCTCCAATCACAACGCCTCATCGCTCTCTCTCAAGAGACGTTTAAATTGACCGCGCTACCCCCACCCGATTGGTACTTGGGACGCTGCTGCTCGTTTAGGCTGCATGCGCAGAAATTTCATTTTTCAGTACTTTTTTCGCTATTATTAATAAACAATGCTCCTACAGTGAGAAAAAAAATTTATAATATCTGAAACATATTTTCTTGAGAGAAGGAAATTTTTTTCAATGGCTTAAATCTCAGAATGTGTGCACTTCACGGAACTTGAATAAATTTTTATTCATCACTATCGTTCCGCGTTATGTCATGAATATTTTACATATTGCAATATTGGAAGTGCATAATGAAAAAATCATGAAAACAATAAAGACTAGAAGATTGACGATTCTTCTACGCGATTTAAATTAGTTGATTTGCAACAAAATCATACTTGAGTACAAGAATATTTTAAAGCAAGAGGCCTTTCTCGGGTCATGTGAGTGGAGATGCCTGAGAGAATTAAGCAATTGAAGAAAATTTACTTGTCTTAAGAACATATGTTTCAGATATTAGAAATTTTTTTCTCAGTGTAGGCGACAATCTTTTCCACTCAAAAAATCATTGATGTTCTAAATGTATCTAAAGTTTCATGACTTTGGCTGCATTTTTTCCGTGGGTTTTGCATTTTTGTTTGTGATTTCCATAAGATCACGGGTTAAATGTCCACTTTTTCAAAAATTCATAATAAATTAACCATGCTCCCCAGCAGTCTGAAACTTTGCACCCGCCTTTTCCATCATTTAAAGAAGACGCAAAAAAGAAAGAAAAAAATGGCTGCTTTTTTTCCAACCCTCCCAGCTCGCCCGATTATCCTTAAGAACATCGTAAGAACCGTTTTCTCATAAGATGGGAAAATCGAGTTCGGGGGGAACTATAAGCCCCGTTCGCCCTGTGCATCGCGTGTTAGAAGCCCGCACTTCATTATTTATTATCTTCTAAACTGTGTAGTTCAGCTAGTTAGCATTTTTTCAATAGCTGGAGACTATTATAAACATTATCTATGAAAAACATAGGGACAATCTTAAGAAGAACGTATTTTCTAGGGATATACCTTAAATCTTGGAATCTTCATTCATAAACGGAGATGCTGAGATTTTAATGTGACGAAGATTGTTCAACTTGGCTTTACTTTTCCGTACGGAAAATATTTATAATTCTTGTACAAATATTCATAAACTTCAAAACGAAGAGGAATCTTCATTTTAATTAGTATTCGGGGGTGATGTAAAGAACGACATCCACAAATCAGATTTATGAATTTCGGTCATATAATTTTTGATTGGTGCTTTTTTTGGGATCCTATATTAACAACGTCCCCGTCGTGGATCATGGATAACCTCAAGAGCTGGTAGGGCTATTGAAATTTTGATGCCTTACCAAGCTCTTGAATTTATATAAAAAAGTATATTTTTGTCATAACATCTGTAAGCAGTCATTCACGGACGCGTAGCGTTAAAATATTGTTCGTCACACGGCCAAAAAAAACTTTTCTAGCTCATATGATTGCAACCCTCGCGTTCGGCTCGGGGTGCAAACGTAGTAAAGTTTTTTTCAGCCCAATGACAAAATATACTATTAATTTAGTTAATACTCCGTTGGTCGCGCTGTAAGCGCCGCGCCGCACCATCATAAATCGCGATCGTAACATTAGTGGTCTCTAAACTAACTACTCTTGGGGGCCAACCAATAAGATTGCGGAGACCGCAGTGATCTCATTGATTGATGCCTATCATTGGTGCACTTCCAGCGATTTTATTGGTTGGCCCCCAAGAGTAGTTAGTTTAGAGACCACTTGATGGCTCCGACATCTATGTTACGATCGTGAAATGGACATAATGATAAATTAGAAAACTCTAGGAAAAATATTTAAAAAATCAATGGTGATCTAGATCGTATACTTGAAGAAGTCCCGTGAAATTTTTTATGTTCAGTGTTACCCTTAATTATATATTCAAGCTCAAAGTTGCCATCGTTTTCTAAAAATTCGCCTTATACACGGTACACGGCCCGGAGTTTCGGAATAAAAATTTGAAAATCTAACTATTTATGATATTTTTGGCGAATATTTTCATTGATAGGACTTCTGAACGCTTCAAAACGAGATATCTAATTTTTTCAGACTGTTCTGAGGCTTTGCTGAAGTGTAGNTTTATGTTCAGTGTTACCCTTAATTATATATTCAAGCTCAAAGTTGCCATCGTTTTCTAAAAATTCGCCTTATACACGGTACACGGCCCGGAGTTTCGGAATAAAAATTTGAAAATCTAACTATTTATGATATTTTTGGCGAATATTTTCATTGATAGGACTTCTGAACGCTTCAAAACGAGATATCTAATTTTTTCAGACTGTTCTGAGGCTTTGCTGAAGTGTAGTTTAAGGGGTCTCCTCAGTAATTTTCGCCACAAAACGACAATGTGCTAGCGAATTGAATATGTAATATAATAATTAAAAATGGTAAAAGGAAAATTGTAAAAAAAACTCTGAGTAGTTTTATCGTTTCATTCGTTTTCAAGCGCGCGGGTGAGTGGAGCGTAAAATGGTTAAGTTAGTGAGGTTATTTTCGAGAGAGACGAAACATCAAACATGGCGTGCGTTGGATAGTGACAGACATCACGCCAATTATTTTTATCGTTAATTTATTCAACGAATTACTGGCAAAACTAGATCAGACTTCATTCCCTTATTTTTGAGAATTTAATATAAATAAATATAGCTTCCTTTGTTGGCTAGCACATTGTCAACAGGGTGAAGGGTAAGGGACAAAATTTCGTTCTTAAAGCCCATGTATAAGCAGAAATTCGAATGATTAATTGAAAACGAATGAAACGATAAAACTACTCAGTTTTTTTTACAATTTTCCTTTTACCATTTTTGATTATTATATTACATATTCAATTCGCTAGCACATTGTCGTTTTGTGGCGAAAATTACTGAGGAGACCTCTTAAACAATTGGAAAAAGTGCGGCGCGGTGCACATAGCGCACCCAACGGAGTGTTAAAAATCTAATCGCCTTTAAATTCCTCGAAAGTTTAGAAGAAAAGTGGTGAGATGGATGGTCCTTGGTTCCAGATATCTACACGGAGAAAAAAATACATCGTAATTTTGTGAGAATCCTTCCAAAAATTAGTGTGGTGTTCACCAACGCTGGGACATAACAGGGAGTCATCGGAGAATTCGCATGTGGCACACTAATTTTTACGGGAATCCCCCGAAAAAGTGGCCGGAGTCCCACCAAAAATTAGGGTGCCACTTATGAATTTTTCGACGACCCCATGTTATGTCCCGGCGTTAGGGGACAGCAGAGATTATAAGGGAGATTGCTAGCGCCTATGGGAACGCTTCAACCGCAAAATTTCGTAGCGGTGGCGCAGAACTAATTTTGAGTACGTACCTGTAAGTAAAACAGGGAGCGTGTGAGAGCGTCGATAACGGCGCAGAGTGGGGGGGGAACGCGTATGGGGGAATCGGAAGGCGGAGCGAACGGTGATGTTCGCTGTCGAGTAGGTGAGGGAAACCTACCGCAGTTCGAAACGCCGACGGGCGGCGGAATCCTGCCCTTAATATAACAATCAATTTCTCCTTCCCTAATGAGGACGAAGGGATGAAACGGTTGCCAATCGATTGAAAATTGAATCCTCAACTGATTGCGATCTGTTTTATCCCTTCATCT